ATATATATATATATATATATATATATATATATATAATATCTGCACCAATACAAGAGTCTGGGTGAGAAGGACACTAATGTAATGTATAAATGAATAGTACGATATGTACAGGAATTAGAGGATCAGTGGATTCTTTGTGGTGTGGAACTCTCACACCAGCTTCGAGACTGGAAGTATTTGTCCCCTTTAATATTTCCCTTGTCACCACAGCATCACCAGTTGAGTTGAAATTATAGATTCATGAATTCATGATGAAGAAGACTGTCCAAACAGTCCCTTTGGAGAAAAAAACAACAGAAAATTTCTTGCACCAGCATTTCTTGAAGGACTAATTGTCTCTGATGTGTCCAAATGGAATCGGACATTAAACTTGGGCACACATCAGTGAGTCATATTCAGCTTCAGTGTCATCTCCATCCTTATCACCTTATCCTAAATACATATCATAAAAGATCGAATGAGACTGTCAGAGCTACAGAGACATGTTGGGATCAAATGTGCTTCAACAGTTCAACCAGTGGAGTGCACTCTCTTTGAACTCTTTGGTTTAAAAAATGTGCCATAACTTTGTTTCAGAATAAATGTTTTAAGTGTCTTGTGTGCGATATCGTGTATTCTCAATCATATTTATTAAAAATGATAGATTACCAAGAAAAAGCAATGACAATCTATAATGAAACAACAAAGTTTTGATCAGAGATTTTTAGTTGTATCATGTTTCCTTGAGCTTCGCAAGAAATACTGATTTTAAACAAAAATATATTCTATTGATCAGTATTTATTGACTAATTTAAATTAAAATAGTAACATTTTAGAGACTGACTTTGAGATCCTTTTATTGTCACATGCAACTGGCTTTCAGAGCAGTCACTTGTATCTTAGTAAAGGAGAGGGGAAAAGAAGGCCATGCATTATTGTTCAATTACTTGTATTTTCAGAATTAATTAAAGAAGCAGTTCATATTAAATGATGACCATGCAGTTACTGTAAACTCAGGTTCCAGATAGGCTTACTTAACCTTGATGAATTTTGTGGGTGTCTTGTTTTCATTTAAAATATGTAAAAGAACACTGGAATAAAAATTTATTGATTGAATGCATGTTGGAAAAAAATGATTTAATAAAATCCTGAAAAATCAATTGATATGTAAGAAATCATGTGTTTGTGATTGTGAGTGTTTTTGTTCTCATAGTGTTTTAGAACAGAATTACATCCAATGGTCCATTTACTCTGGGGATTTTCACCCATTGTTCCCTATCATATAAAATCATGTTAGTTTCCCATTGACTTCGTATGTGTGAGGGGTGAAGTCTTTGAAAATGTGTTTAGATTCAAACTGGGTTAACAGAGTTACAAAAAAAAAAAAATTTTGAAGTAAGGAATAATTGATGTTTGATTATTGGAAATGAATGCACACCCAGAGGTGTTCCTACACTGTTCCTACACAGCTCATGGCCACACTATCACCTCAGGGTGTGCTTTTAACTTTTGAATTTACCAATCTGGAGTCAGTTACTGAACTTAATAATAATAATAACCTCTGTTACTTATTTGAAAGCATCACTTTTGAACTAGTGATCCAGCTTGAGTAGTTTCTAAGCAATTTTTGGACAAACAAAAAGACAGACAACATGCTTTCTATAGACGTTAAATGTAATCTTTTAAATGACAGAAATTGTAATTTTATACAATTTGACTGATGTATCATTTTTACTGTTCTTTTGCTTTAGTATGTTATATTGGTGTTTAAAATAACTGAAATAATGTGGCAAAGCAATAATGTGGTCAACACACCTGGAACTAGTTCATAGCCGTGCAATTATAGAATGATTATGAACCAATCAGAATCAAGATTCAGCAGTGTTGGTGAATGACAAACATGAGACACTTATTGCCTCTTTAAAGGCATAGTTCACCACAAAAATGAAAATTCTGTCATCATTTACTCACGCGCATGTCGTTCCAAACCTTCATGAGTTTTTTTCTGTTTATCACAAAAGAAGATATTTTGAAGAATTCGGGTAACCAAACAGTTGATGGTAGCTACTGACGTCCATAGTATATGAGAAAAAAAAAACTATAGAAGTCAACGGCTACGTCTATTAGTTAAGTTATCAACTGTATATGTGTGTGTGTGTGTGTGTGTGTGTGTGTGTGTGTAATGTGCAGTGATATCTCAGCGCTAAAGCCCTGACTGCTGATCTGCATCATGTGATAGGTCGTGGCTGAGGCCAGGCTGAAATATTACTCTTAATCTTTTTTCTGCCCTGAACCAGATGTTCATTCAAACCACCACGCTGACCGTGTCCATGAGCTTGAGTGCCATGGTGTCCCTGGGCATGTTGTACATCCCCAAAGTCTACGTCATCATCTTCCACCCAGAGCAGAACGTTCAGAAACGCAAGCGCAGCTTCAAAGCCGTGGTCCAGGCAGCCACCGTTTCCACTCATCTCTCACAGAAATCCAGCGACAAGCAGAACGGAGAGACCAAAGTTGAACCAGATAGATCCCAATAAAGACCAGGAGGTACAAAAAAATAAAAATTTGTACATGTATGTTTTTTTTAATTATTATTAATTGGTTATCAACAACATTCTTCAAAATATCTTCTTTTGTGTTCAGCAGAAGAAAGAAACTCATACATTAAAAATTTGTTTTAAATATATAAAAACAAATCTACAAGGTCACAAATACTGGTTCTAATGTGGTGTTCTCTGGAAACGGGTCAAAAATCACAGTCAATCGAAGGGTTAATGCGGTAGGGGGCAGTACAAAGCAATATGAGCCCATTTGTTAGCACAAAGCAGAGCAAGCGTCGGAAGTGACGTAAAAATCGCATTGTGGTTTGTTGATGTTTGTCAAACGCTCGTTCTGTCGTTGTTACGAAAGAAAAACTTCGAAACCGAAGGAATAAAGTCGATCTGTGACGACTGTGTTAATTCACTGACACCCCGTATTATGTTTGGACGGGTGTAACTATACATGCAGCGAACAAACTGTTCATAGACAAGCGAAAACGGCCGTTTATGCTCTGTGTGTAACTCATAACAACACAAATCACCGCAAGCTGGCCAGCGATGACAATCCTCCCGAAGAAGAAACCGGCCTCTACAGCCGGTGGCGGTGATCATACGGACGAACCGGACAGAAGAGGCGGCTCTGAGTCGCACCCTCATCCCCTCGCAGGACGATCGGGCTCCCGACCCAGGGCCTCTCCGCCGCCGTGGACATACCAGGCCACACCGCACACGTCCAGAGAGGAGCGCCGGATCGAGGCGAGCGCTCGCCCGCAGCAGGCCTCCCCTCAGCCCGGTGCTGCTGGAGCACCGGTCGTGCAGTGCGAAGGGAGCGCGAACTCGGTTGTGGTTGCAGGTCGTGTCGAGCTGCCCTGTGGCGCAGGTGGTGTTGGAAGCTGCTGCTCGGGACCTGGACTCAGCAAGCGGAGACGACAGGCGGTCTGCTCCAGCGGTTTGACAGGTGGAGGAGGTAGAGTGGGAGGGGGAGATAGTCCAGTCTCGGAACCCGAGGAGGGAGCTGGAGGCAACAACAGTGAGGATGAGTATGAGAATGCGGCCAGACTTCAGCTTGAGGACCCCGCCACAGTCGAGCAGGTACTGGATACTGGCATTTGTCAGGATACTTGGCAACACGAGAACAGGGTGCCATAGCTGCTATTCTAAAGCACAACGGAAAGGTTTTTAATTCTCTCTAAATGTTCTCTTTTACCGTAAATATTATTTTAATCGTTTTTAATGTCATTCATTCTTGAAAAAAAGAATGAGTGGTTCTCTTAAGATGTACATTACTAGATATCTGTTTAACTTTAGGTTCTTTCGAGTTTTTATCTTTAATTATTGACTGATTATAGACAGTTTGGTTTATTTTTTGCTTCTTAATTCTATGAAAGCCCAATTACCCCCCCCCACACACACACAAAAAAATCATGCTTTGGTAAATCATAATTACTAACATAGGAGGGTAAATTATGACGTAAGTCATCATTTTATCTCACAGTTGTGACATAAAAACTTGAAATTATTAGATAGCCTAATAAAAGTAACCCTACATAATGAAAACAAAATTAAAGTCGATGGTGACTGAGCTTGTCATTTATTATTCTGTGGAAATGGGATGTTAGTTAGAACTAATCAACTAAATTTTTGAATCAACTATTAATCTTAATTTCCAAATAATTTTTGGGAACACTGTCTGTTTTGGTGTTCAGAATAAATACTCCATATGTCCTCGTTGTCCTATAATGTACTTTCTTGGTTACTTTTTGGCCTACAGCAAGAAGAATGGTTTGAGAAATCCTTGAGGGAAAATAAAGGCTTTGAAATAAAAAAAATGAACGAAGATGGAGCATGTCTTTTCAGAGCAGTTGGTAATATTTCCCTCCTTTGTCTATTTAAGAGTTTACTTGAAAGCTGAGTTAGTTTGCCTTTAGGACATATGCTGTGCTTTGAATATGCTGAAATTATAGTTTAGCAGTGCATGTGAATGTAATCATGTGGCTTTATCAGCGTATAGGTACCGTATTGTGGCAGGGTTTCCACAATTAGAGAAACCCTAGAAATATCAGTTTTTCAGTCCTAAAGTAGTCATGGAAATTATTAAAACCTTTAAAAAATCTATCATTTCTGTATTATTATTATTGTTGTTGTATGAAATTTCTAGTTGCAGTATCTATAAAATAAATTTTTAAAAGTAATTATGAATGACTGGTAAAGTCATGGAAAGTCATTGACAATTGTCACAATTATGGATTACACATGTAACAGTGTTATTTTAGTATTATTTATATATTAATGCAGCTTTTATTAATGTTTTGAATTAGCTTTTATTTTTATATTTTAAGTTTACATTTTAAATTGAGTGATTTTGTTATGTGCTTTTATCATTTTATCTTTTTTTTTTAAAGCTGATCAAGTATATGGGGACCAAGAGATGCATGATGAGGTACGGAAGCAGTGTATGGATTATTTGGTGAGTCAGTTGAATATTTAAGAATAAATGATTTGCATTTAAAAAAAATAGTTAACTTTGAAGTGTGAATTTTAGCCTTTTTAATTATTGACCAAGTTTAGATTTTTTGTTTGTACTTGCATTGCAGACGAAAAATGCGGATTACTTCTCCAGTTATGTCACAGAGGACTTCACCACATACATTAACAGAAAGAGGAAGAACAACTGTCATGGGAACCACATTGAGATGCAAGCCATGGCAGAAATGTACAACCGGCCGGTGGAGGTTTACCAGTATGGCATAGGTTAGTTAATGTCTGTTGAATTCCTGGCATCTTATAGGCTGTCTGTGGTATATTTTAGGAAAGAAGAGGAAATACGTTTTAATTTTATTTGAAAACTCCCAATTTCCAGAGCCAATAAATACGTTCCATGGCATCCAAGAGAATAACGACGAGCCGATACGTGTCAGTTACCATAAAAACATCCATTATAACTCTGTGGTGAATCCCCACAAGGCCAGTATTGGGGTGGGGCTGGGCCTCCCCTCCTTCAAACCGGGGGTAGGTGTTGTAAATAAGATGCATAAGTGTTTACCCGTATAGTATTTCTTTTTCACTCAATAATGAAAATTTGCTGAAAATGTACTCACCCTCAGGCCATCCAAGATGTGGTTGGGTTTTCTTCATAAATTTAGCATTACATCACTTGCTCACCAATGGATCCTCTGCTGTGAATGGGTGCCATCAGAGTGAGAGTTCAACAGCTAATAAACAACTCACAAGGCATTAATTGATGGAGTGCAGTCGTGTGGATTACATGTGGATTATTGTGATGTTTTTATCAGCTGTTTGAACGCTCATTCTGACGGCACCCATTCACTGCAGAGGATCCATTGGTGAGCATAATGTAATGCTGAATGCTGAATTTCTCTAGATAATTTCCAATAAAGAAACAAACTTATCTACATCTTTTATGGCCTGAGGGCGAGTAAATTTGCATTTTTTGGGTGAATTGTTCCTTTAATATTTGTTATTTTGTTTCTGTGTAGTACGCTGACCAGAGTCTCATGAAAAACGCTATTAAGACATCTGAGGAGTCTTGGATTGAGCAGCAGATGCTGGAGGACAAGAAGAGAGCAACAGATTGGGAGGCCACCAATGAGGCCATCGAGGAGCAGGTGGCTCGTGAGTCCTACCTGCAGTGGCTTCAGGACCAAGAGAAGCAAGCAAGACAGGTATGAAACCATCCCACCCGTCCTAATCAAACTAAGTTTAAACAACTTTGAAACATTTCCCTCTCTGCTTTTCCATTCAGCCTCGTAAAGCTAGTGCCACCTGCAGTTCTGCCACAGCTGCCACATCCAGCGGCTTTGAGGACTGGGGATGCCGGTCTCCCCGCCAGCGCAGCTCTGCCCCCTCTCCAGAGCATCCAGGCCCGGCTCACCCTGAACCCCCTGTCAAACCCCCCTCCCCAGCTGGAGCTTCGCTGGTTCTTCCTAAACCCCCGTCACCATGTGCCCCAGGTATGTATGTATGTGTATGTTTTCTTTGCTTACACTAATGCGCATTTCTTGCTTACTAACCGATTCTTCCTGGACTTCTTTTCAAGGTCCAAGTCATCAGTCTTCTGCCAACTCTTCCCTTGTGTCTCTCTACCCAACCCTGGGCTACAGGACTCTAATGCAGGATATGTCACCTACTGCCTTCGGTAAGGCATTATATGCTTCAGTATGTTTGTTGATCTACACTACATGTCTTTAAACAAGCTTACTTAATTAGGTGGTTGATTTGTTTTTAGGTTTAACAGATTGGGAAGATGATGACGTTCTGGCCTCAGTTCTGGCTGCTTCACAACAAGAATACCTCGATAGCTTGAAGAAAAATGCAATGCACAGAGAATCTTCTCCAGACTGCAGCTGATATAATGGACAACACAACTTGCAGCACAAACCACAGAACAGCTGCATTTCTATATTTCAACACCTTGCAATGTTTCTTCCTCTCCACTCTATAAATACCACTGTATTCTGATCTTTTTTCTTTTTTTCCTTTTTTTGGCTAACCCATTTTCCTTAATTTCATTAAGCGTCATGGACCTAGTTAGGTGCATGTTTAAATAAACATTGTAAAATTTATATTAAAAATATCATCTCAACTGTTTATTATTATTGGGTGTTTTCATTATTTCAGCAAAACAAATTATACTAATTAGTATAAGAATGTTGAAAATGTTTAGATTTTTCTTCTAATTTTTCAATATTGACCAATGCAGCACAGCAAGCTGCAGGTTTTTGGTTATTTAAAGATGAACAGTAAACAATTCAAATTCATGCTTTGATGTTTGTATACTGTACCGAAGTATTTAGTGAAACTTGAGGTTTCTCTAGTTACTGTACTTCTAGTTATCATAACATATTATATGACACAGACACACACACACACACACATATATATATATATATATATATATCAATTGCAAAGTACAAATTTTATATATTATGTAACTATATAAGTTTATACATTGTGTATATAGATAGATATTTATGTTTGTT